GAGCATAGTGGTGCATACCTTTAATCCTAGCACTCTGGAAGGAGAGACAGGCAGATCTCTGTGGTTTCAAGCCAGCTAGGGCTACATAGTGAGTCTGTCTCAAAAAACAAAACCAGACAAAATGAAATGGCAGATAAATAAATAATAAAGCCAGGTAAGACATCTCAGGTATGCTAGACATTGAGGGAGAGAGGCTCAGGGTGTGAAGGGGTGTGGGGAGGCTCCTTGAGGAATTGACCCCTCCCTCAGGTCTGATGGATGAAAAGTCAAGTGGGATTTTTTTCTTCCCGTTAAGATGTGGTCTCATGTAGCCTAGGCTGGCCTCAAACTCACTTGTATTTGAGTATGACCTTGAATTCTGATCCTCCTGCCTCGGCATCCCAGGTTCTGGGATTATTACAGGTGTGTATCATCCAGCCTGGTTTAGAAGTCAGCTTTTGAATGGGTCAGGAAAAATATTTTACAGATAGGAAGCACCAGGCCCTGAGGCAGACAAGTGTTAGCAAGGAACCAAGAGAAGCCTAACAGGATTGAAACCAGGATAATGGAGAGAAGAGATGGTACTGGGTTGGGGTCGGATCACCACACATGAGAAGGATTTATGTTTAGGTGACAGACATCCAGAGACTTAAAGGGGCATCCTTCCAACATGTTGTCAAAGACCTGGGCTCCATCCAGCTCTGTGCTCTTTCATCCGTATAATGCGATACTTGTCCTTGAACTCACAATGTGGTTGTTGGAACTCCAGCCCATCATGTCTGCATGCCAGACAGGAAAGGATAAGGAAAAAGCTAACAGGGAGTTAAATGTGACTTCACGTGGGAACTGAAGACATCCAGGGAATGATATTTTTGTTGTTTTTATGTTTGTTTTTGCTGGCTATACTGATGCTTGCTACAACATTCTATTAGAGGAATTGGGATTGGATGTTGGCTAGGCAGTACCAGAGTTTGCCCCACAGGGCCTTGTATGTTGTGGTAAGAGTTGTAACATTTGCCAGGCATGGTGGCTCATGTCTAATCCCAGCACTCGGGAGGCAGCGGCAGGCAGATCTCTGTGAGTTCAGGAGGCCAGCTGGGGCTATAGGAAGGCCCTGTCTCAAAAAGACAAAAAAATATTTATTTATTTATTTATTTATATTTATTTATTTATTTATTTTTTGTTGTTGTTGAGTTTTTTGGTTTTTTTTTTGTCTTTTTGAAGCAGGGTCTCCCTGTAAGCCCCAGCTGCCCCAGAACTCACTATGTAGACCAGGCTGTCCTTGAACTCACAGAGATTCGCCTGCCTCTGCCTCCCAAGTGCTGGGACTACAGGCATGTGCCACCACACCCAGCATTATTTATTTATATTTTATGTGTGAGTGCTTTATAAGCCTGTGTTATGTAAGTGCACCCGTGTTGTGCAATGCCTGTGGAGGCCAGAAGATGGTGTCAGATCCCCTGGAACTGGAGTTAAGGACAGTTGTTAACCACCATATGAGCACTAGGAACCAAACTTGGGTCCTCTGCAAGAACAGCCCGTGCTCTTAACCGCTGAGCCACCTCTCTAGCTTTGTTTTTCTTCGTGTTTTAACTTTTATTTTGAGACAGGCTCTCAATATAAATTGCCCAAGTTGGCCTTGAACTCTCTGTATACCTCAGGCTGGTGTTGAGCTTGTGGTCCTCCCATCTAAGCTTCCTGGGATTACACATGTGCCCCACCAGGGATTACATGTGTGCTCCACCACACTGGCTCCCATGTACTTCTTCTTTTTTTTTTCTTTGTCTTTTTGAGACAGGATCTCCCTGTAGCCCCAGCTGTCCTGGAACGTAGACCAGGCTGGCTGATGTACTTCTTGAACACTAAAAATACGAAGGGAAAACCTTGAGCCATGGACATAGAAGTGACCTTGTAGGCACAGAGATGATCTCACTTGTTCCTGTGTGTCAGGGGCTCAAGTTGAGGCTGAAACAGGCATTTAACCTGGCATGGTGACACATGCCTGTAATCCCAAGAATTTGGGAGATGGAAACAGGAGTATCAGGGTTCAAGGAGAGCCTTGACTATATAATAAATTTTAGGCTAACGAGCTACATGAGATCCTGTCTTAAAATAACAACAAAATGATAGGCTGAATAGCATCTAAACCTTATTTCCTTTCTTCAAAATTTTATGCTGTCCTTTAAAATATTTTCATTTGCTAATTTTATTTATTTATTTATTTTATTATTTTATTTATTTATTTATTTTGGTCTTTTTGAGACAGGTTCTCCCTGTAGCCCCAGCTGGCCTGAACTCACTGTGTAGACCAGGCTGGCCTTGGACTGGAACTAAAGGTGTGCGCCACCATGCCTGACCAGCTTTGATTTGTTTATTTTTATTTATATATGTGTATGAGTATTTTCTCTATACGTAAGTGCACCTGTGCATGCAATGCCCTCAGAGGCCAGAAGAGGGTGTCAGATCTTCTGTATCTAGAGTTACAGACGAATGTTAGCCGCCATGTGGTCCTGGAAATCCAACTGGGGTCCTCTCCAAGAGCAGCCAGTGCTCTTAACCACTGAGCCATCTCTCCAGCCCCATCTCCTGTCCTTTTGAAAAAGATTTATTTTTTATTTATGTGTATGTATCTGTGTATGTGCACATACATATAGGCGTCCACAAGGCCAGAAGAGGGTGTCATATCCCCTATAACTAGATTTACAAGCATTTGTGAACTGCCCAGTGTGGGTGCTGGGAACTGAACTCTGGTCGTCTGAAAGAGTAGCAAGCCTTCTTAACCACAGAGCCATCTCTCAGCCCCATGTTGTCCTTTATTAAACTACTTTTTTGTTTGAAATGGGACTGGGGAAAGGTAAGCTGCAGCTGTTTGAGCCTATAGCCATTTGCTATAGAGGTGGTCCCTGCAGAACCTAAATGAGCTTCAGAATTGGGTGCTGCAAACTGTTAGATGGGCACTGTTGTTCAGGCCCCTGTGTCCTTGCACACAAGCTGCCTGGAGGCCTCCTCCACACCTCTCTCCACACACGTGTGTGCTCAGAGCTTTGTATCCTGGCAGGTGCTTTTTTTTGTTTTGAGGAAGATGGGGGCTCCCTGCCAGAGCTGGGTGGAGACAGGCATGTCTATTCTGGCATGGCCCGGGGAAGGGCAGAGCTGAAGCTGGTGCTCTCAAGGGAGATTGTGAGCACCAGGCACAAGAGAGGGACCGTGGGCATTATCCTCTTCTGGGTGTGTCCTCCTGACCCCAGGGTTGGTGTCTAGGGGAGTAATTAATGGCAGGCAGCATTTTTTCCATGGCACTTGTTCTTATCCCAGGAGCAGTGGCATCAGGGTTACACACCACCCCCCGCAGGTTGCTTCATGGATAAAACTGGTCTGATAAATCTGGGTCCACATGACTCATGTGACTCTTGGAAATAGCACACATGTATCTCACTTGAAGGAGTCCCCAGAATGTTGGATGAGGGCCATCTGCAAATGGTCTTATTGGCAAGTAGGGACAAAAGATCAGACAGAAAGCAGTGTTTAAGCCGAGCACTGAATCGACAGGGGAAGAAGGCCATTCTAGGCAGGACAATCATCTTGTAAGGCAGGAGTGAGCACTGCTGGCCTGAGACAGTTGAGGAGTCTGGTGTGGTGGGTGGGTACCCAGGAGTGACTAGAGGATGAGAGAAGGAGAGATGACAGAGAGGAAGGGGCTGGTTCATGCTGGGTCCTCTGACTGGCATTTTGACTCCAGGGCAGTGTCTGGAGGGAGCCCTGATAGTTACCACCAGAAGGATGAGGCCCCAAGAGAGTTGATTTGGTTTGTCTACCTGCTGATGAAGGGAAAGGATGGTGGGGTCGGGGAGGAGCAGAGGCAGTAGGATATCCCCACAAATGCTCCTTCACTCATCTCTCTCAGCCCACCCCAACCCTACATCTCCCAAAATGTGTTCAGAGTGGGCCACTTGTCAGAACTGTAGTTTACCTCTCTGCAGGCATGCAGTGCCCAGGGCCCCAGCTCTCTACTCCTCCTGGGCTCAGGCCAAAGGCTGGCTGGGGAGCTGGCAGCTTGGCAGGGAGAACATGGTTTGCTCTGCTGTATCTGCAGCCGCTGCCGCTGGGCAGCCTAATTAATGATCCATGGTGTCCAGGGCATCACTGCAGCCTCATAGCCCAGAAAGCCTCTGACCTTCCTGCTGTCTACCAACAACCTCCAGTAAGATGCTCTTGGGCAGGCTCCAGGAAATGCAGAGACATGGTTGGACTCTCTAGCTCCCACTTTCTGCTAGCCATTTCCCCCAGCCCACTTTAATCCCTGGCCCCCAGATGCTCCCTCCTCCTCCAGAGACTGGACACTGCAGAGTGTACTGAGCCTGCTGTGGCATTCCCATCAGCCACTTAGGGAGATTCAAAATTATGCCTAGAGGGATTTCTTGCTCTTTAACGGCCTTCTGGCAACTGCAATGAAGGCTGCGGCACTCCGTACCATGCTGCTTACAGGTCTGCATCTGGGTATTCTGTTATTGTGTATCCTGCCTCCTCCAACAGACTAGCAACTCCCCAAGATCAACGACGGCCTCCTCCCTTTGATTTCTAAGATCTACTTGTCTTCCCTTATGGTAAGGGAAAAGACATAGATTATGTGCCCCCAGTGGTCTGGGCATGCTCATTCCAGACAAGGGAGCTATTTGGGACTGTGCTGTTGGTTTTCCCCATGTGCTCACATGCTGAACTCAGCCTAAGGGCATGGTTTGAAACATTCAGGAGTACATGATGTTATTTGGGTAGCACTGGGCCCTGATAGAGCAGACATGGGTTTGACTGGGGCCAGACTTGTTGGGGAATGGCTCTAGACAGGCAGTGCTCTCCAGGGCCTGGTGTAGCCCAGGGGCTCCCTGATCTAAATCATCAGGTCCAGCTCTCTGGGCCAAGAGGACTTGGGGTCTGCAGAAGTTTGAGTGGGGAAGGGCAGAGGGGTGGTGCCCTGCTTGCCTGGCTCCTCACACCTCCTGTGTGCTCTGCCTCTGTCCCTACAGGAAGACAACCACAGCTATTACGTGTCCCGTGTCTATGGCCCTAGTGAACCCCAAAGCCAGGAACTGTGGGTAGACATGACTGTGGCCAACCGGAGCCAAGTGAAGGTCCACAGAATCCTTTCCAGCAGCCACCGGCAGGCTTCAGTGAGTGTCTGGCAGGGCAGCCTGGGCTGGAAGACTGGGAGGCTAGGCCAGCCCTGGCTGCCTGGGAGTAAATATGATTATGACCTGAGGTTCGTGATCTGCAGTTGGGTTCAGTTAAAAGGGGCATAGTGGGGGTGCCCTATCATAGTTCTTGGAGGTCTTGTCTAGGACATGTCTGCCTCTACTCTGTTCAGACAAGTCTGGAACAGGAGGGTCACCAGCCTTTGACCTGAAGCTCACCCATGGTGACTCTTTCCTGTCCCTGCAGAGAGTGATCTTGTCCTTTGATTTTCCTTTCTACGGGCATCTTCTGCGGCAGATCACCATAGCAACTGGAGGTAAGGCCAAGTCAGCAGGACTGAGGGAGGGCTTGGAGGTCTTGGCCTGACTCAGAGAGCCTCACTGGAGACTCACTGGAGATGACTAGATAGGTGGGCTAGGGAGGAAGCCCCATTCTCAGGAGAGAGACAGGGCATGTCTGACTGCTTCCCTCCCCAAATCAGTTGACTTGAGTGTGCGTGTGTGTGTGTGTGTGTGTGTGTGTGTGCGTGCACACATGCACGCACTTGTGTGTCTGGGCCAGCACAGCTAGTGTCGACAGCCCTTTGGTCCCTGTGTTTCTGAGTCCGAGTCTGAGGAAGCAAGGACTATGGTCCCTATTGATAGGAGGAGCCAGTCTTTGATTCCCACTCACTTTTATCCTGTGTCCTGCTTCCCCAGCATCACCCCCTCTTCCTGCTCCTACCCCCATGGTATGTGCCCACCCAGATACCTAGAACAAGCATTCTCTAGACTGGGCCTTTTTTTTTTTTCCTTGTCTTTTTGAGACAAGGCTATAGACCAGGCTGGCCTTGAATTCACAGAGATCTGTCTGCCTCTGTCTCCCAAACGCTGAGATTAAAGGCGTGTGCCACCATGGTCATCCCTAGACTGGGCCATTTTGCTATGTCACCAAATCCAGAGCCCACTGGATAGGGAGGGGGAATGGAGGTGTGAGGCCTATGTTTAGCAACTGACGGTGGGGAAAGCCCCAGAAGCAGCCCCTCAAGACACCTCATACCTCTCCACCCTTAGGTTTCATCTTTATGGGCGATGTGCTCCATCGGATGCTCACGGCTACTCAGTATGTGGCTCCCCTGATGGCCAACTTCAACCCTGGCTACTCCGACAACTCCACAGTCGTTTACTTTGACAATGGTGAGGTCCAATCTCAGAGTATAAGTTATCCTAGCACCAGGGATCTCTGGTCTAGTTAGTCCCTTCCCAGGAGCCTGAGGGCCAGAGACTTGCCCATAGTCACATAGCCAGACAGCCACCCTTCCATTTCTCCACACTATTTCCTCATCTGTAAGAAGGAGACAGAAATACCTTGTTACCTAGCATTGTTGAACGAGATGAAGACATGAAAGTACTCATCCAGGTGAAATCACTCTCACGGCCTCTACTGCTTGTCTCTCACCAGCCCCACCCACCCCAGGAGACAGACATTTCCAGTTCTCCCCTTTTCATCTCCTGGGGTGGCAAGAAAGAAGGGATATATGCAGGGTAAGAGATGAACAAGTTCAGGCCCTGGGGCAGAATCAGGACCTTTGGGCTCCTCTGCAGTTTGGAGGCCAGGCTGATGTTTGTGGGGTATCCAGCCCCTGCTACGCAAACTTGCAAACACCCCTCTTCATCCCAAAGGGACCCCACCCATGGCTAGTCCTCTGTGGCCACCGTGTCTGCAGGGCCCCCTGCACAGCCTCCCTGTTCAGCCAGGTCTCTGTTCTCCCCAGGGACAGTCTTTGTTGTTCAGTGGGACCACGTCTACCTCCAGGGCCGAGAGGACAGGGGCAGCTTCACGTTCCAAGTGGCTCTGCACTGCGATGGCCGCATTGTCTTTGGCTACAAAGAGGTAAGTAGGCTTTGGCACCTCTCCTTCCTTCAGCAAATATTTGTAGAGAATCTGCAGTGCGATGGGCACAGGGCTTGGTGCCACAACAGCTCTGGGTTTATCTGTGAACCCTGTACATATGCCGCCGTAAGTCTGATTGACAGAAATAATAATTACAGGGACAAATGTGGAATTGCCACTAGGACAAGTGCCCCTAGGTAGAGGCTTCTGGTGCTGACAGTCTGTAGCGGGACTCTTCATCTTATCAGAGGTATGTGTTGGGGGGTTAAATCTGCAGAATGAGTTAAGGAAACAAAGAGGAGAGTGAAATACATTCAGGAGAAAGAATAGCGTGTACAAAGATTCTGTGGTAGGTCAGAACTTGGCTTGTATAAGGCACTACCAGAAGGTGGCATGACTGGAGTGAAGGGTGGAAGGGCAGGAGGGGCAGGAGAACAACCAGATGTGTCTTTGGAAAAGGCCACTTGGGCTTCAGAGTGGAGGGCAGGCTCTGGGGACTCGGGGAATATGCTGAGAGATGGTGTATGGGAGAAGCTTGGAGATGGGAGAAGAGAGAACTGTACAGATTGGAGAGCCACTGGAGATGGATGGCAGAGGGAGAGGCTGAGGGGGAAGAACCCGCGTGGAAGTGTCAAGAAGTCTTAGAATATGGATGAGAGGCTGGTTCAAGGTGCCTGAGTCCTTGAGCGCTGAGAAGACAACTGGGTGGGGAGCTCCAAGGGGTGACTGTGTGGCATAGAGGGTTCTGGGTGGATGGCACCTTTTCTCCCTGCTGCAGATCCCTATGGCTGTCCTGGAAATTAGCTCCTCCCAGCACCCCGTCAAGGCTGGCCTATCAGATGCCTTCATGGTTCTCAATTCATCCCCAGAGGTACCAGGTGAGTCCCCAGGGGACTGTCTGACCCAGCTCAGTCCAAGCCTGGCTTTCCTTGTTAGGGCAGAGGGCTCATTTCTGCCTATCATGTCTAGAGGGAGGCACTGGCCTGGTTGCTGAGGAGAAGGGGATCAAGAGCCCTTGCACTTAGCCTGCTCCATTTAGAAAACTGCCTCAGAGTGCTGGAGAGATAGTTCGACTTTTTTTTTTTTTTTTTGGTTTTTTTGAGACAGGGTCTCCCTGTAGCCCCAGCTGTCCTGGAACTCATTATGTAGACCAGGCTGGCCTTGAACTCACAGAGATCCACCTGCCTCTGCCTCCCAAGTGCTGGGATTAAAGGCATGCACCACCATGCCCGGTGATAGTTTGACTCTTAAAAGCTAAAAACCAAAACGTCAGACAATCTCCTAAGATCCAGGAATGATGCTGCTTGCCTATCATTCCAGCACTCATGGTATGTGGGCATTGAAAATTCTAGGCTAGACCCTGTCTCCAAAAAACAATAACAAAAGAAATAATCTCTAAAAATCCCAGGTGAGGGGTCTTGAGCCTCCCAGAATTTAAACACGGTAGCCTTCAATCCAAAGGACTAATAGGCAATCAGGGGTGTCAGGAGATGGGGCATCTAGCCTTAGCCATGCTGTGAACTCTTTCCTTTGGCAAACCATACCATCTTTGGTCTCAGTCAACTCCTCTGTAATTTGGGGAAGTAGTTGGAGGGGCACTTCCTTCGAAGCAATGATCTTTGAGGCGTACCTCAGCTCCTCCTCTTCCGTTTCCAACCCCCACCCCTGTCCCATTGAGTCCAAAGAGTCTCAATTCACATTCTCAGGGAGGCTTCTGGGATACAGCTACCCAGTGCTTCCAGACTGTGGCTGAGATGGGTGAACCTGGTCTCTGTTGAACTGTGTTTGACCTGCAGGACTCCAGGCAGATCTAGAGACAAGCCCTTTCCACTCTGCTCCATCCCACCAGTACTAATGGGGCTGGGGGCATTCCTACCTCCACCCAGCCATGCCAGGGTGAGGTTGAGCCTCCTGTAGAAGGCCAGGCCCTGCCACTCTGTGAAAGCCAGGGCTCCAGGGGAAAGCTCGTGGTTCTACGTGTTGAGGAATCTATTTCTTAAGTATTTTATGTGTTTGAATGTATTACCTACATGTCTGTGAGTGCACCTGTGTTGTGCAGTGCCCACAGAGATTAGAAGAGGGAGTCAGATCCCCTGGAATTAGTATTATAGATGGTTGTTAGCTGCCATGTGGGTCCTGGGAATCAGACCCAGGTCCTCTGTAAGAGCAGCCAGTGCTCTTAACAGCTGAACCATATCTCCAGCCCTGGAATGTATTTCTTTTAATTAGCATAGACATAGATTTATCAAGGAAAAGTGAGGTAAACTCCCAAGAGTGGGAGGGACTCCAAGGGAAGGGTAATTGTGTTGTGGACTTTAATCAGTACCTGTGTTCTGAAACCACTATGTATATTGAGGGACAGGTGAGATACAGTGGAGGGGAAGTGAGTCCTGCTCTGGAAGAATCTGTTCTCTGACAGTCTCTTTCCTCAGCATAAACCCTTTAGGAATGTGAGGGCTCAAGTTCAGGGCTTATCTAGTCTCTGCAGTGGAGTTGGAGGGCTGGGTTCCAGTCTAGACTGTCCATCAGGAACTAACCTATGGCAAAGCACTGCAGCTTTAGGTTTCTTTCACATCTGCGTGGTGAGCACAGGAGTGGCAGTGTGACTCCCACAGTTACTGTGGCCATAAAGGTGGTCTTTGGTCAATGTCTGGCCCATCAGGCCCTTGGACCCAGGAGGCACTTGGATCTTCTACTCTCTCCTTAGAGACTTGGGGCTTTATAAGCGGGCAGCTCCTGCATCTGAAGGGAATGGTGCAGGAGCAGGTGACATCCCAATGCTGGTGTGTCACAGGTCAGCAGCCACAGCTATGGCACTTTCATGTGGCTTTGTGGCTAGTGGCAGCAAGTCACATCCTGTAGTGGCAGTGTTACCCAAATGTCCCTCTTCTGCATGCCTCTCTTAGAGACTTGCCATTTCCACCAGTGCTTTTCTACCATTCTTTTTCTTCTTCCTCCTCCTCCTCCTCGTTCTCCTCCTCTTCCTCCTCCTCCTCCTCCTCCTGCTCCTCCTCCTCCTCTTTCTTCTTGGGTCTTTGCATACTAGACAAGTGCTCTACCACTGAACTACAGCTCGAGACTATCTTCATTTCATTTCTAAAATTAAATATAGTTTTTCCTTCTTTAAAAAAGGCTTTTTATATTTATTTTGTGTGTAAGTGTGTGTGTGTGTGTGTGTGTGTGTGTGTGTGTGTGTGTGTATGGGTACACCTGTGGAGGTCAGAGGACAACTTGCCAGAGTCAGTTTACTCTACAATGTGAGTTCTGGGGATCGAAGTCAGGTTTGTCAGTCCTGGACCCCAGCTCCTGGATAATGCCACCTACATTCAGGGTTCTTACTGCCTCAGCTAAATCTCTCTGCAAAAGCCCTGGGAGATGCACAAAGATGTGTCTCCCATATGATTCTAAATCCAGTCAAGTGGACAATGGGGAGCAAACATCACGCAATTGGTTCCAGGACTCTTCATTGATCCCAGTGTCCATGGGTGCTCAGAAGCATCCACCACCACCACGCCCCTGTCCCTTTATTATGTTGTCATGCTCTAAGCTTTTCATACTTTTCAGTGAGGACTGTCTCCTGTATGGGCTGAATGCCTAGTCTTTGAACCCGAACTTGCCCTCAAGGCAAAACAGGAAATCCTTCCTAAAGCTGAAGTTTGTGTCTTCCCTTGTTCTGTGCTGTGCGACTCTATGCAGATCTTACTGCCCTTTAAGTCCCAATTCTAACCTAGATACTAGATCTAGGGCTGATAGCCAATGAGTGCAACCCACTGTGGTGTGTCCATTGTTAAAGCAATTGAGGAGGAACTTGGTGTGTGCCTGGGAGTAGAGCACCTGCACAGCATGTGCAAAGCCCAGGGCACCATCCTCTGTCAGTGGAATAATGAAGCATATTTTGTGCATTTTTCTGAGACAGTATCCCCAGCCTTCACTGAGTTTTAAAGTGGGTCACATAACATATACAAGGCCTTAGGCTCAATTTCCAGCACTAGAAAAAATAAAATCAATAAAGTAAGTCACAGCCTCTGCTTTTGGGAGTGATAGCTTTTTGGAGGCTAAAATGTCAGAATCTTCTCAGTCTGATGTTCCCCTAGCAAGTAGGAATTTCATCTGGATTAATCCCAAGTGACCATGGCTGAAATGGTTCAGGGAGAGCCCTCAATCTGCAAACTCTGTTATCTCCATGGATATTCCATTGTTCAAGCCCAGAATGGAGGCCTTTTCTGTCCTCTGTCCAGATTCAGCTTTTTCCTGCCTCAGACGAGGCAATGAATGGAACTCGGTATCCCCAGTATTGAAGATTTCCCAGCCAGCTGGGTATGGTGGCACATGCCTATAATCCCTGCATTCTGATGGTGGAGGCAGGAGGATCAAGGAGTTCAAGGCCAGCCTGGGCTATATGAGATGCTGTCTCAAAAAAATGAACGAATGGTCTGGGGAGATGGCTCAGCCAGTGGAGTGCTTGCTGCTCAAGCATAAGAACCCTGGAGCCCCCTGGACAGCTAGTCTTGCCCAATCAGTGAGCTCCAGGTTCAGTGAGAGATTATATCTCAAAAAATAATAATAAAGTGAAAAGCAATAGAGGAAGAGGCCAGCCTCAACCTCTGGCCTGTGCACACACACAAACACATACACATATATCTCCCCTCCTCACCCCCCACACAAAATTAAGTATAATGAAAAAACAACAACAACAAAAGATCCCCAGCCACTAAATCCTTCTGTCTAAGGGATTCTCCTCTTCACCTCTGCTGGGCTGGATGAGAGAGGACTCAGGATGACCTCCTCCCTCCTGGGACCAGAGAAGAAGATGCTGAGCACACCCAGGTTTCTTAGCATTACTCCCTATGTAAACTGTTACACACATTGTGAGCAGATTCTGTAAAGCATTTTGATGCAGAGAAAAGCCATGCACATTGGCAGCATCTGCTTGCAGAAGCGCTCAAATCCTCCAGGGTGGCCTCGACACTGCATCTGACTGGAGGAACTGCCAAAACCTAGTTCCCTCCACTAGTTGGCTTAAGAAACTTTATTTCACTAACAAATGTCAAAACTGACAGAGACTTTGAGGTAGTGGAGTCAGTTACAGAAGACTGGATTATCAAGGGGCTCCAGATTGTAACGTGACCTTTGGCTGGCACCTGAATGTCCTTAGACGGTCCTAACACACTGGTCCTCCTTTCCCAGAATTTTCCTATCTGAAGTTGACTTGAAGCCAGATGTTTGTCAGTGGCCTGTGCCGTGTCTCTGTGCCAGGCTGCCATGGGGGAGGTGGAGGCTCCAGAGCTGGCTATAAAAGGGAGAGAGACCAGCCAAAGAGGATGGGGGTCGGGGGGATGGTCACCAGATCTGCCCATTTTGACTTCTCACTCTCCTGATAAAGGATTCCTTAAGGAACCTGGCCCATGTGGTGGTCACCCCTAAAATCCTAGCACTCAGGAGGTAGAAGGGTTGAAGGGATAAAGAGTTCAGGGTCATCAGCTACATAGTGAGTTCAAGGACAGCCTGGTATAAGACCCTATCTCAAAAAAATGAAAAAAAAAAAGGTGTTTTTTTTTTTTTTTTGCCTCACTGAGACAGCTGTAGCTGGTCTGGAACTGGTCTCAATTTCATAGAGATCCACCTGCCTCTGCCTCCAGACTCCTGGAACTAAACGCATGAACCACCACACACAGCTAAGAAAAGGGTTTCTTTTTTTTGGTCTTTTTGAGACAGGGTCTCTCTGTAGCCTCAGCTGGCCTTGAACTCACTATGTAGACCAGGCTGGCCTTGAACTCATAGAGATCCACCTGTTTCTGCCTCCCAATGCTGAGATTAAAGGTGTGCACCACCAAGCCCTGCCAGAAAATATTATTTTTATTTTATGTTTATGAGTGTATTGCCTGCATGTATGTGAGGGCACCCATGTTGTACAATGCCGCGGAGGTCAAAAGAGGGCTTTGGATTCCCCTGGAACTGGAGTTAAGGCGGTTTGTAGCCGCCATGTGGGTGCTGGGAATCAAACCCGGGTCCAGTCAGTGCTCTTAACCGCTGAGCCATTTCTCCAGCCCCCAGAAAATGGTTCTTAAAGCACTTTTCCTTTGATGTTTTGGACCTGCCTGAGGGCCCTGCCTCCTTTTTTTCCCCTTCCTCTTCTTGTGTTCCCAACACTCAGCTCCCAGGGTCTTAGTTCTTTATTTTCTGCCTTTTCTTCTTTGCCTCAGTGCTGGGGAGGATTTGCTCTGCCTCCCATGCTGAGCTGAAAGCACTTCAGGATTCCTTGCTGGGGTTCCAGTTATGATTATTGAATAAATAACCAAATAGGCAACAGAATGAAGGAGTGAACAGATGGATGAGCAGATGAGGACCAGCTCAACTCACCACGGCACTTTCAAATAATGGTTGCATTATTCTTGATGGCTGGATTTTTCAGTGTCCTGTGGTGGTGGTGTTCCTCCTCCTCTTCTCCCTCTTCCTCTTTCCTCCTTCCCTTCCCCCCTACTCCCTACTTCTCCATCGCCTCCTTTTCCTTTTTCTTCTGAAACAGGGTCTCATGTATCCTAGGTTCCTCTTGAACGCTCTATGTGAGAGAAGGCAACCCTGAACCTATCCTCCTGCTTCCTCCTCCCCAGTCCTAGGTGAACTACCACCCTTGATCTGAACAAAGCAATGCTGGCCTGCTGGTAGCAGGTGTGAGCACAAAGGGAGTCATGGAAACCTCTCTTCTGAGCAGTTATAGGGTCTGGATGGGGCAACAGACCTGTATCTGGGTCTTAGTATTTCTGCATGTTGGAAAGCTAGAGCACAGATAAAACAGAACATCTCAAATTGCCAGAAGTATAGCTTGGGGGCCTCCCGACCTGTTTCCAGAAAGCAGTTGCTGGCCACACAGATGGATGTCATTATTCCTGGGTGAGCCCCACATGGTGTAATGATCCAAAGGCAAATAATTCCAGTGTGGAGATTAAGGAGTCTGCTTATAAAAACAAAAATGTACCAAAGCCATACACTCAAACAAGTGCAGGGTAGAGGTTGAAGTGGCCAATATTTTCAATTCAAGACAGACTTCTGAATGAAGCACTCCCACACTCCTCCAGACCACTGCTCATCTGCTCTGCCCACTGGCAGGGTTATGATTGTTTTCCAAGCTCATCTGGTCATCCCTAGCTGTGCACAGGCCCAGGACACATCCCTACCACTGCCCCCCATCCTCTAGTGGGAGGCTTTCAGAGGTCCTGCCTTCTCTGATTGAGGATTATACATCTCTGTCCTTAGACTTGACTTCTATGACAAAGTGCCTGCCTCTATCTGAGATTGGGTCCCATGCATCTTCCCTCTGACCAAGGTGGAGCTCTGCTCTAAACCTTTGTAGGTGAAGAGTGCCTCAAAGCCAGCTCAGCCAAGGTTCAAATAATATCCCTCCCAGGAGAGCTAGTAGGCATGGGTGTGCTTGGGATAAGGGAGTGCAGGGGAGATCCTGAGGTCAGGGCTCTCTGAGCAGTCATCAGGGAGTACATGGGAGATTTGCCCTACCCCCAAAACCACTTACCACCAAAGCATTAAGACCCCCATTTTTCCTATTGCCTTGTTCTCCAGTGGAGAGTGTCTGCTGTGGGTCAGAAAGAAGCAAAAGGGAAACCAGGCAAGGGCAACAGCCCCAGGAAGAATCTCCTGAAACCCTGGCCAAAAAAAAGGGCCAAAAAAGGGTCCAAAAGAGGGCAAGGAGAAGCCTACAGGATGGGGGTGGTACTTGGGGATAGGAGGGTGAAGGCAGGAGAACAGGATGTCCAGGTTGCTAGCCTGCATAGTGGTCAGGTGCCTCTATGGGGGTTTCCATTTTGTCACAGCAGTCTCCACAGCAGGAGGGAGACAGAAACTAGTTTCTCTGACAGGAACTATGCCACTGGAGCAGGAGAGAGGGGGGAGGAAGGGGAGGAGAAGAGGAGAAAGGGAGGGACTAGAATGGGTCAGTCTTCTTCATGTTCAAGTTCATAAACATTGGTTAGGGTGGAGTTTGAGGAGGTAGGAGAGACTGAAAGTGCCCTGGTGTCTCAGCCAAAACAAAAACAAAAGAGGAGCTGGGTTGAGAGGAAAGAGGGGCTGGTGAGTTTGAAGTGGTTCTAGGGCCCAGGTGTTTTATATAGGAAGTTGTTTTCTTTAAACCTCAAAACAACCTGGTTAGTGGAATCTAATAAGCCCCGTTTCTTTTTCTTTTTTTTGAGACAGGGTCTCCTTGTAGCCCCAGCTGTCCTGACCATGTAGACCAGGCTGACCTCAAACTCACAAAGATCCGCCTGCCTCTGCCTCCCAAGTGCTGGGATTAAAGGCTTGCGCCACTATGCCTGGTCCAAGTCCCATTTCTTAATGTGGCTCACTGAACTTAAGTCCTTCATCCAAGCTCATCCAGTTAGGTAAGGCCAGAGCCAATCTGCCTGGTGGCAGTGACCCCACGCCCTCTTCCTGTGTAGACTCCCTCCTAGCAAAGGGCTTCTCTTTCCCCATGGTCTCTGTCAGTCTCCCCAACTTCTTCCCACTTGGCCTAGGACAGCAGCAGACCCTGGTAACTGAGTGCTTCTCCTAGACATGAGGGAGTGGGCAGTGCTTGCACAAGCCCCACAGCTGCAGCCAGTTCTCAACACCAGAGCAGTTTCCTTCTTGTGCGGACTGATGTTCTGCCACTTCCAATGTTTGAGGGCTGAGGTGACTGCTGAAACCCCAAAGCAGTGCATTGTGGTGGAGTGTGGTGAGAGAGCACACCTTGGCACCATACCAGCGGGACTTCAGTCCTGGATTAAATAGGTGGGAACAGTTCCAAGACTGAGGTTAAGTCACGATGAAACACAGCACAGACGTTCTGCTAGGCAATGCTTCGCCCTCCTGGCTTGGGGGGTGGACGTCAGCAGTTGCATACTGCCCACTTCCTTTGCAGGGACACTCCAGAGCTCTGTGGCCATCTTGGGAAATTTTCCTCCAAACCACCTTCAGCTGAGTGAAAAACTTCCATCCTCACCTACTCTGGGTTTCTAGCTTAAACAGAAGGGGGGTTGTGTTGGGGAAACATTGAAATAGAAGCAAAGGAAGAGCTGAATACTGGAAAAATAGGGACAGGCCAGGTCCCTGAAGGCAACACTTCCTGTTTCTCTCTACAAAATGGCTTCATTTTCTGGCTTTCCCCATGAGACTGGAACCTGTAGCCATTCATAGGCTCCAGGCTGGAATTAAGAGCAAAAGCTTTTTTGTTGTGGTTGCAAAGTCTCAAGGAAGATCTCTGATTGGTTCAGCCCTGAGCCAGTCACTGCAATGCAAGATTTTGGAAGGACAGGATCACTCCAGGCAATCCACTGGCCTTTCAGCGTCAAGGCAACCAACCCTGAGTCATGGTTCTTGGGTGGGCCTGGTGAGACAATGGAGAATATCGGAATGTTCAAGATCGTCAGTTTAGGTCCAACCTTTTCATCTACAATTCCAGTTTTTTTTCCCCTTAAAGGTATTGTGCCAGGTGTTTCTGTCTTTATACTTCACTGGCAAGACACTGAGGCTCAAATGACTTAACTAAGGTTATTATCCAGAAAGCCAGGGCAGGACTTGAATCAGAACCAGGTGTCTTGACTAAGAGGGCTTGAGAGAACATTTTTTAGGAACAGAGGTAGGGCTTAGACTTGCTTCTGAGCTCTGAACCTTGCCCAGGCCTCTGCCAGGAGGAGAGAGATGGAACATCATCATCCATGTCCAAAGGGCAGCCTGTCTGTGGACATTTGAAGAACATTCACTGTGGGTAAAGTTCAAATCACCCAGTCCAATTAGACTTTAATGTCCATCCAGTATGGGGAGGTCACTTGGCCTAAATGGAATCGAGCAGAGAGCTGACTAGGGGGCTGCTCAGAGGAAGCAGCCCTTCAGCCGGATTTGCAAGAGGGAGCTAGACACAGAGAGAGGGTGGAAGAACGCTGTGGGTTAAAACAACCGCAGCTGTGACGGTACTAAGGCAAGAGGAAGTGGAAGATCCTGACCCCAGGAGAAGCCAGACTTCGGTGATGAGAAGTGCAACCTGCTTATAGCACAAGACTTTCCTCTTAGGTCAGCTCCTTACCTTCTACCTCCCAGCAGCTTCAGCAGCAGCATCTTGGGCTAATAGGTTCAGCTCCTCCCTCACCAGCTGCACGAGCTCTGGGCACAGGCCTCGGAGCCCTCTGGCTTTGATATGCTCCTGATGACAAGCTTTGCCTCTCTTTCAGAGTCTCGACGCCGGACCATTTTTGAATACCATCGTGTGGAGCTGGACTCTAGCAAGATCACTAGCACATCAGCCGTGGAGTTCACCCCATTACCAAGTGAGTTGGGGCATTTTGCGCTTCCATGTTGCTGCAGATGGGGGTGGGATACAGCCACCTAACTTATCTGAGCCTCCATTTCTCATCTGTTACCTGGGCCTAATACCATCTTCCTGCAGAGCTGTGACCAGAGCTAGAGGTGAGCAAGAAATGGCAGCTCTGACATGGACCAGCACGTTCCAGGCCTGGAGTGTGGTTTGCGTCTACTCAATACCACCTAGTGGTATGAACATATCATTGAAACCTCAGAAAGCTGAGCCTCTAAGAATGCCATCTGTCATCAGATTTCCCTTAGAGGAGCTATCACTGGAGGGTACCTCACTGGGTGGAACTCTATTTGGTCCAAGCTCATTTCTAATTTGCAGTGGTCCTCCTGCCTCTGCCTCCCAAATACTGGGATTACAGGTGTGTGCTGCTGCACCCAGTTCAGGATTCTATTTTTCCAGAGTTTTGTTTCCTCTTCTTTATCATGATGCTTCCCTGCTGCCCTCTGAAGCTGTAACCTTTTACCTGCCTTCGATGACATTCCTTGCTTTCCCCCACTTCCTCTTCCCTGGAGGTTCTGGAAGTAGACAGAAGAGGAAGAAGAGAAGGAGGGAGAGTTGGTCATGAGTCCTTGGCCTCATCTCAGCCTGGGCCCATCAAGTGTCTTCTGGAGAAGGGAAAGGCCCCAGATCCCAGGTGGATCAGAAGACTAGGATATCTTTCAGGTTATAGCCATCTGCCAACCTAGTCATCCTCCATTGAGCCAAGAAGTCCAAAGGCCTAGGAAGCAGAGGTTTCTCAAGGATTGGTGAGAACACATAGGCTGGGCATGGTGGCACAGGCCTATAATCTCAGCATTTGGGAAGCTAAGGCAGGGGAATCTTGAGTTCAAGGCCTGCCTGGGCAACATAGGGAGACTGTTTAAGAAAGAGCAAATCTCAAGTCCTAGGACATCAAGGAGCAAGGGCATCCAAGGCCAGGGTCAATAGCCTGGGTAGCAGTAGGGTGCCAATCCAGCAGTGCATCTCTCTGACAGTCTCTTCAGTTAAGCTCCTCCTTCCCTGGTGAATTTCATGAGTATTTACTCACATGAAACCCATTTGAAATGAAATTGTGAGGCAAAGGTCAGTAGGCCATGTGCTATATGTGCACCACACAAGGTTCCCAGGTTTCTGGCCACTACTAGTTTGACTGAGTCCTCAAGGGCTCTCCAGAGTCACCGGAGATGACAAGGCCATGGCCTCCCAGATGCTATGTAGGAGGACAGTTGGTTTTGTTTGTCGTGAGAAAGTTCTCTGCATCCTTCACTTCTCCTTGACTTCCTTCTAGAGATGTGGATGGTTATCTCCAAGCCATCACACTCCATGGTGTCTTACCTGGTCCCCCTTTCAGGAGGGGCTAATGGAAAGAGACCCTTGGGTAAGACTGGGAGCAGGAGAGGGGGAAACATAGTATAACCTCAAGACTAAGAATTCTAACTCTAGACTCAGATAGCCCCGGGTTCAAACCCAGACCTATCACTCGTAGCTCCACGACTCTCCAAGCCTCAGTCCCCCCTGTGAAATGGGGTAAGAAGAGCACTGACCTGAGGCGTCCATATAGTCTAGGTCTCCAGGGCACATGAGCAGCCTGTGTTAGTTACTTTTCCTGTCGCTGTGACAAAATACCTGACAAAGCAACTTGCAAAGGAGAGGGTTTGCTTTGGCTCACAGTTTGAGGGTACAGTCCATCATGGTGGCTGTTAGATTTAGAAAAGCAGAAAAAGGAAGGAGTTTAGAGTTTAGAAATAAGAATCCGAGCGAGACATACAACAGGCAAGGAATGTGTCCTTTATCCAGGGAACACAGCAAAGGGCAGAAACTCTTCCATGGAATGAGGGCATCTGCAACTAAGGGAGGTTTTGACTTATATATGAATTTTACTGAGCACAGCTGCAGGAGTTTGCCCGGTGCCAGGGTCTGGTGTCCTTGGGTAATTGAAGGTTCTCTTCCTAAGATTATTTTCTCAGGCAGGGCAGATGAGTTATCTATGGCATTAAAGGAGACAGGTCGGCTCCATAAACAGCCTCCTTCACTCTGGGAGTGACCAATTGATAAGGCTTGAGCAAGGCCAGGCTGCCAGTTTAGGGCCAGTGGCCACTTTAAGGAATTTATCACTTTATGGCTTCCCTTAATGGAGCTTATGGCTGTCCTGCAATTCACACATTCTATCAGTGGCAAACCTGTAGCGGTAAGAGCAGCTCTGGCTGTGACAGACTGAGCACTAGGCAGCTGGTCACATTGAATCAGCAGTCAGGAAGCAGAGAGAGATGAATGCTGGTGCTCAGCTTGCTTTCCTGTTTCATCCTTTTTATTCAGCCTGGGCCCCTAACCCACTGGTGATGGTTCTACCCACATTCAAGGTCCGTCTTCCCTTCTCAGTTAAACCTCTTTGAATAGGCCTTCACAGACACACCCAGAGGTATATCTCCTAGGTGATTTAAAATCCAGTCAGGTTGACAATGAAGATTAACCATCATGAGCCAGTAGTCTGGAGGGAAAGGAGAAAGAATTCTGGCTGCTCTTCAACTGAGCGAGGCAGTCATGGCCTTAAGCAGAAACACTGCAGTTCGGGACAGACCCAGGATTCAGGCATTGTGCCGTGATGCTGAGCACGCTGTGCCGTGATGCTGAGCACGCTGTGCCGTGATGCTGAGCACGCTGTGCCATGATGCTGAGCACTCACTGCCTCCTCTTTTGCAGCCTGCTTACAGCATCGGAGCTGTGACGCCTGCATGTCTTCAGACCTGACCTTCAATTGCAGCTGGTGCCACGTCCTGCAGAGGTTTGTGTCCAGGTTATGCACTAAGTCCTGAGAGCAGACTATGGGGGGGCAGGCAGGGGATGGCTAGGGCCCATGCCAGCTTTAGGCTGTACTACCCACCATCTGCCAGCATAAGGGTCTTTCTGGCCAGTGCTACTCTAACCTTTAGGACAAGAATGTCACAGAAGAGAGTTTCTGGTGGGGGCTTGTGCCTGAACAAGGTGGGTATGTGGCAGAGTGAGGCCTTGGGTGGCCAGGCTTCTAGAAGACCATCTGGAAACTCCAGTTGCTGTAATTACTCCTTACTCCCAGGAAGATTGGCTCATTCTAGGAAAGGGCTTCACAAAGAGCAGGCCATAGCTCTGGGCATCCCAGAACTCCAGGCCCCTTGTGTCAGGATTTCTAGAGAGATTCCAGGCCTCCATTTTACCATGGTACTTCATTTATAGACAAGTACAGGACCAACAGCTCAGAGATAGACTGTGACTCAGACTCATTACTACTGGGTAAGCTCCATGACCCAAAAACACGGCCTTAAGATCTTTCCTGGGTTGCAACAGGGTTTCCTGAAAACCAGAGGTGTGGATGTCAAGGTATCCATGGAAACCCAGGAAACAACAAGGCTATGCTTGCTTGGTTTTGGAAGCCTAGGAAATTCTGGATGGGATTCAGTTTCAGGGATAAAATTCTTAAACCCAACTCATCTCTCACTCCTTGTTCTGAAATAATTTCCCCACAGATTAGACTTGTAATTCAACCTCTGTTTTCCTATCCAAGATAAATAAATGGCAGGAGAGGGGAAAAACGGATTCCTTTGGGGGATGAGGGCTCTTTTGAGAGTGGGAAACCCTAGGATCTCCAAGAGCCTTTAAGGCCATCTTGATAATTGCAAAATTATAGTCTCAAAGTCCCCGTGCAGCTGTTATACAGCTGTCAATGTTTCCTTTACTTCTCTCCAACATCCCAGAGCAGAAATAGAAGCTTTTGCCTCTATAGACAGCCGACCTGGCATACAGGAAGCTCAGCCACCCAGTCAGGAAGAGAGGGGCAGAGGGCTCTGGGCTTCCCAGGTGCGCTTCACACCAGCTGTGCTTTTCTTCTGTCTCTTGGGATCTCAGTTTGTTTACCCTGTAAAATGGCCTGGGGTATGTGAGTCAGGGAGACAAAGTGGGTGAGGCACACACTATTATTTAAACTTCTGCAATGCCAAACAGCATTTTACTAGAACCATCCAGTAGAGGCCTCAGAGGAAGATGGTAGAGTAGACTCTCCTACCTGACTCTTCTTAGAGAGGAGCTTTATTTCTGGTAGACTGTGAGTATCACCTGGACCGCCTGGTTAAAAAACCATCAGGACATGGTAGCACATGCCTGTAATTTTATCACTTGGGAGGCTGTGCAGAAGGATCAGAAGCTCAATGTTATCTTCAGCTACATAGTGTGAGACCAGCAACCCACAAGACATGGTCACCAGGGCCTAGGGTCCCAGGAACCTGATTTTTGGAGTGTTTCATCTCACACTTTCAAAGCTGCAGACCATTTTATGAGCCTTGGGGGTGATGCTTGAGATGACCTTGGATGATCTCTGGGATACTGGGGCTGCTGCCACACATGACTCAGCATCCAACTCGAGCTGAGCCATAGGAACTACAAAATGGGTCAGACGAAAGCGAACCCTCCCTTCACACCCCCACCCCCAGTTAGTGACCACACCCGAACTCAGAGATGAGACAGTGTAAAGAGAGCTGGGGTCCTTCAACATGAAGATGATGAAGATGCTAATCAGGTAGGGAAGGACAGGGGCTCTGATGGGGGCTCTGTCTCTGCTGTCAGTGATGAAACAGAGACATTCCATCAGAGGCAAAAGATATGTGTGAGCTGGAAAGCACTGGTTCCCCAGCCAGACATCCACAGGCCTGGGCTCACTCCAACCCATGTTTCCCCTTGTCAGCTCTCTATAGCCTCAGCTCTAAATGACAGTTGATCCCAGGTCCCTCAAAAGCCAAAGTGCAAAGCTGGTACACTGGGGCACCCATGGTTCTTTTCACTCCTCTCCTCCATTCACTCTCCGTCTTCAGCCTCCCAGAGCTTCCCGGCCACCCCCTCCCCCCGCCGTTGCCCTGACTTTAACAATTTCATTTATCATGGCAAATATCTTCCTCTTACCCCACATCACTGCCCCTTGGCCCCTTGGCCCACGGTGGAGTCTAAGGGTGATCTTAGCCTTGGAATTAGCTCAGGAAATGATGGTCATTATTCTCACCTTCCAGTGTCATTGTGGAGGGTCCTGTGAGATATGGCTGAAGTGACCAGGGTCTAGGGCAGTGCCTGGCATTCAGGAGATACTCAGTCGATGGCCTGTCCTCATGCCTTTCTTTGAGTCAGGGTTGACTAACTCTGGACTTAGCATGTGATGCTGTTAGACATAAACTAAAGGCTCTTAAAAGAATCTATTAGCTTTGGGGCTGGAGAGAGTTGGCTTAGAGGTTAGGAGCACAGGCTGATCTTGCAGAGGACCTGGGTTCAATTCCCAGAACTGACATGGTGGTTAACAACCACAACACAGGTGCACTTACATATATGCAGGCAATATACTCATATACCTAAAATAAAGAAAAATAATTTAGGGACTGGAGAGATGGCTCAGTGGTTAAGAACACTGGTTGTTCTTGCAGAAGACCCGGGTTCAAATCCCAGCACCCACATGGCAGCTAACAACTGTAACTCCAGTCCCAGGGGATCCGACAGCCTCTTCTGACCTCTGTGGTCATTGCATGACACGGGTGCACTTACCTCCATGCAGGCAATACACATATACACATAAAATAAAAATAGTAAATAAAAATAATTTTAAAAAAGAAAAATAATGAAAAAAAATACCAGCTTCATCTAAAGGAAGCTTGAGTTCTAGTTTCCAAAAGCCCTTTGTTCTCCAACCCTTAAAACAGTGGGCCCAGAGGGCCTGAGAGGATCTGGTGGCCCAGGCATGGAAGTCTCATCAGATAACCCTGGGAAAGCTTTGCCTTGGCCTCACTGGGGCTTGGGCAGATGGTGGTGGCTGCTGGTGCTGAGTTAACTTGCTGAGAACTCTGGGCTGTGACTCAGGGTGTTATTCTTTCCTCCCAGATGTCCCTGGGCTTGAGTAGGGCTTGGGGGCTTCCCCTGGGGCCATAGAGGGAAGAACAGAAGCAGGATGCCATGAAGAACATTTTAAGGTTCATCCTCATGCCCCACTCTCTCCCTAGGGAAGCTTTTAGTGTCTTCTCACTGAACTGCAGTGACTTCTCTAAAGATCCTTGTCAGCTCTTGCAACCACCTTTATTGCTTCCCCCTTGCAATCATACAGGGAGCAGTTGGCCACATCGGCTGCCACCACCTTCCACCCAGCCTGTGCTTCTGAGGGAAGACCACTCAACAGTAATGGAGAAGGCTTGAATGAGCAGACTTTTCTCCAGACAAAAGCACAGACCTAGACTTCCTAGATTCCCAGCAATGCCTTATGAGCAGAGAGACTGACAGTTAACAGAGGTTGTGTAGTCCTGCACAACACAGACACAACTGGGCAGATGTAGGCTTGGTCTGGGGAGTTGGGTCTGAAGGAGGAAGAAAAATAGAGGGTGTGAGGTTCTGACTGCAGGTCCTACAATCATTGCGTGCCCAGGGCATCTGTGCAGTGTCCTTCAGGAACTTTACCAGCCCACCTGGAGTTGAACCCCTCTCCTCACTATCGACACAGAACTATTATTGAAGAGGGGGAGATGAGAGGGGAGGGATCCTCTGCTCTCACATCTCTGATCTTTTGATTCCCCCTGTAGATGTTCCAGTGGCTTTGACCGCTACCGGCAGGAGTGGCTGGCCTACGGCTGTGCCCAGGAGGTGAGACGCATGAGTGCTCTGCTATAGCTCCTGTTCTGGGCAGGGCAGGGGTACTGCAGAAGACTCTGCCCCGAATAACTCGTCTCAAGATGACTTTAGCTCATGAAGGCCTCCTCCTCTCTTCCATCCAAGATGCATTTTTCAGACTTCTCTGAGCCAATAAGTCCACTTTGGAGGGTTTTCTGGCTCTTGGGGGTCCTTGAGACAAGCCCTGCTGGTGATGTGGCCTTGAGGAGGCAGCCCCTAGGAATTCTGGTCCTGCAGAGGAGAGGGAATGTTGGATCTGGCCATATCCACACCTGGATTTTCTGGGAGACAGTACTCCTGGTGTTAATGAAGCTCCAGCCCCCTGGTTTTGCAGGGAGGCAGTCGTTCTGGGGGTGAGGAGAAGTTTTTCAGGTATCTTCTACTTAAAATCCTGTCCAGTTTACTTCTCTAGCACAGTCAACACGTTGCTTTTGATCAGGAAGCATCTCCTAACATTGGAGCACAGGTGATTTCATCTATGCACCATTCCCAGCCCTCTCCTTTCCCTCTCCATCTCATATAGGATCTCTCTATGAAGCCCAGGCTAGCCTCAAATGCACACATCCTTCTGCTATCTCCTGCAACCCAAGCAAACCTTACATGCCAAGCACATCACTGTGAGCTGCCCTGTACTTGCTCTTAACATGACCAAGGCCCTCATTGACCAGAGGGGAAACTGAGGCACAGAGAAGTTTGAAGACTTGGTCTGCCATTCACAGCTAGAAGCTGCCGGGCTCATTGTTTAAAATGAACCCTCTGGCTTCCCTCCTTGGTGTCTTTCTAGGGCTTTAAGAAAAAAGAATCTTGGGCCAGCAAGATGGCTTGGTAAGCTGCCAAGTGTGAGAACTAGATTTCTAGGACCCACGTGGTAGTAAAAGAACTGACTCTTGAGCCGGGCGTGGTGGCACATGCCTTTAATCCCAGCACTCGGGAGGCAGAGTCAGGCAGATCTCTGTGAGTTCAAGGCCAGCCTGGTCTACATAGTGAGTTCCAGGACAGTTGGGGCTACAGGGAGATCCTGTATCAAAAAGACAAAAAAAAAAAAAAGAACTGACTCTTGAAATTTGTCCTCTTCATATACATATGCACATATCATATACATGTGCACACGTACACATAAAATAAATAAATGTAAAAAAAATTTTTTTGGTCTTTTTTAAGAGAGGGTCTCCCTCTAGCCCCAGCTGACCTGGAACTCACTATGTAAACCAGGCTGGCCTTGAACACACAGAGATTGACCTGCCTCTGCCTCCCAAGTGTTGGGATTAAAGACATGCCACCACGCCCAGTTGTAAAAATTTTTTTTTTAATTTTTAAAATTTCTTTTTGCGGGGGCTGGAGAGATGGCTCAGCAGTTAAGAACACTGGTTGTTTTTGCAGAAGACTTGGATTCAAATCCCAGAACGCACATGGCAGCTAATGACTGTCCATAACTCCAGTTCCAAGGGACCTGATGGCCTCTTCTGTCCTCCATGGGCATTTCATGACATGGGTGCACTTACCTACATGCAGGCAATACACTCATAAAATAAAAATAATAAATAATTTTTTAAAATTTCTTTTTGCTGGGTGTAATGGCACATGCCTTTGATTCCAGCACTCAGGAGGCAGAGGTAGGTGGATCTCTGTGAGTTCAAGGCCAGCCTGATCTACAAAGTGAGTTCCAGGCCAGCTGGGGCTATAGGGAGACCCTGTCTCAAAAAGACCAAAAAAAAATTATTTTTACTTTACACGTATGAGTGTTATGCCTGCTTATATGCAAGTGCACTCACTGTGTTGTGGAGTGCCTGTGGAGGCCATAAGAGGGTGTCAGATCCCCTCAAATGGGAGTTATAAACAGTTGTTAGCTGCTATGTGGGTGCTAGGATTCAAACCTGGGTCATCTGCAAGAGCAGCCATTACTTTTAACTGCCAAGCCATTTCTCCAGTCCTAAATGTAAAAAATGTTAAAAAGAAAAAAAAAACCCAAGAATCTTGTCCAGCTCACCAGGCTGACATTTGCTGTTGGTGACCGTTCAGATTTGCTCTACTTAAAATTGGCATCTCAGCTTTTTCCTTAAGGAAGGATTTGAAGTAGCTGACAAAATAAATTGTCCTATAAGATAAGACACTTCCAGGATAAAGTAGAAGCTTCCGTTTAAATTCTTTTTAATTTTATTTTTTTTTCTGAGACAAAGTCTTGCTATGCTGCCCAGGGTGGTCTTGAGCTCCTGGGCTCAAGCAATCCTCATACCTCCACTTCCCAAGGAGCTGAGTCTAAGTGCAAGTTCTCTGCACGTTCAAGGCTACCCATGTCTAGAAGCAGCACTGGGCTCTCTTGCAGGCAGAGGGAAGGACATGTGAGGACTTCCAGGATGAGGACCACTATTCAGCCTCTCCTGACAGCTCCTTCAGCCCCTTTGATGACGACTATACTACCTCTGCTTCTCTCATCATCGACAGCCTCACCACAGAAGGTAAGGCCTGAGTCCTGGGGGAGAGAAAAGCCCCAGAAAGAGCCATTGCTGCCTCTGACAGGGACCATCTCAGAGGACAGGAATTGCCCTACCCTTTTCCTAACACAGTACTGACATTCAGAGAACTTAGCTCAAGAGTGGTCTTGAACTTGGAATCTCAGATGCTTTTGCTTTTTTGAAGCAAGGTCTCATATAGCCCAGACTGGCTTGGATGGCCTTGAACTCCTGATCTTCCCTCTCCCCCAACCCCCCACCCTACCTCTCAAGTGCTAGGATTTTAGGCTTTTGCTACCAGGTCCAGTTTAGCTTTACTTCTGACTTTAAGACTCCACTAGGCTAGAGTAATAGACATTTCCCTTTGAACATTCTGGTCCCCCAATCTTGTGACCTTGTGAGAGCAGAAACTCCAGGTAGGACCATGATATTCTCCATCTTGGGTTGGTACCCTGCACCCATCACCCTGTCTACCAAGGCCCAAGCATCCTAGGATTTGCACTTGTCTCCCAGATGTTGTGTCCTGAGCTACTTGCCCATGTAGCTGCCCTTCTAGCTCCTGATGCTGCTGCTCCACCAGATGGTTCCCTTCTGAGTGGAGGTGCTTACTCGAGGCCTGGGGGTCTCGGAGGCTACCACAGGTCCAGACACCCGGAGGCATCCCACAGTAATTCTAGAAGGCCCTGAAGCCTCCTCTAGTCCTAAGGGCTTTGAATCTTTCCTGCTCCTCAAACCTCTTTAGGATTCAATTCTAGATTTGATCCCTTCCCCTTAGGAAGGCTAAAAGAATTGTGAGTTCTCTACAGCATCCCTGGAGAGGAGAAGGGAGAAGAAAAAGTATCTGAAAACATTATGTAGTCACAGTCCTTCTTTACAGTAAGGGGCTCATAAGAGGCAAAGTAACATCACCTAGTAGACTAGAGAGTTAGAGCAGGGTAGCAGACCTGACTGGGGGAGAATGAGACAATGTTGGAGACCTGACATCTTGGGGGCATTAACTGCGTGCTGGGGGTGGGGTGTAAAGTCATACACGAATTGACATCCTACCCTCACAATCTTGGAAGTTGATATTGTCATGTCCACATTTTGTAGTGAAGACACTAAGACTTGAGGGGGATGACTTGCCCAGGGTGACACAGACAGGAAGAGATGGAGGCAGATCTCAGGGGACTCTAAGAACAGTGATCTTTCTCTGGCCTTTCTCCAAGCTGAGAGAAATGGAAGTGGATCTATATAGATTCAGGACATAGGAAGATAGCAAAATGAGAACACAGGAGCCGGTTCTGACAGCTGACACTCTGAAGTGGCCAGGAATAATGAGCTGACCAGATGGGGCAGAGAATGGAGTAGGTGTCACTGCCCCGGGATTCTATGGATTTCGGTGAAGAGGAAGCAGAAAGGAACTTTGTCCTTAGGAAGTTAATAACCAAGGATGGGGTGACTTTGTCCTTAAAGAGAATTCTGAATCTCCGGATGTGGTGACAGAGGCAGGCAGATCTCTGTGAGTTCGAGGCCAGCCTGGTCTACATAGTGAGTTAGGCCAGCTGAGGCTACAGGGAGACCCTGTCTAGAAAAGACAGAGAGAGAGAGAGAGAGAGAATTCTGAGTCATTTGCCTTCCATTAAACTTGTGCTTGCTTACCGGGCATGTCTGAGCCAGCACTGAGCTGAGAGCAAGCAGCCCCCACTCAGAGGGTAGCCATCTGGTGGAGCAGCTGCGTCAGAAGCTGGAAGGGCAGCTACATGGGCAGGGAGCCCAGGACATAACATCTGGGAGCTGAATGCAAATCCTGCTTTCACTCATAGGCCCCGAGGGGGCATTCAATTTAGGTGAAAAAAAACAAAAACAAAAAACCCTAAAGCAATAGTCAAGATAAATAATTTAATGTGTTATTTATAAAAATCGAAATTAACAATTCCATGATGGACAAAATACCAACTTTCAATAAAGGTTGGGACCCTAAGGCCAGTCATGCAGAGTTTTTAGGGGTGGGACATTGAGGGAGGAAGCCACAATAGGGTGGGAGAGAACAGGCATTGGGGGAGGAACAGTATACCCAGGAGCTCAAAGGTATGGGAGCCCAGGGGTCTGAAGAGCCTGGAGCAGCTTCTTTTGCCACTCTCTTTCCAGCTGCTTCCACAGCAGCTTAGAGCTGTGACACATAGCAGGAGGAAAGAAAATTCTAGGGCCTGGCACACCTTAAACAAACATAGGCACCACTAAAAGTCACTAATGATATGCATGGTGCTGTGGGTGAAGGGGATAGGATGCTATAAACTGTGGAGTGGTCAAGTCTGTTCATGTTCAGGTGATTAGAGCCACAGTCTTCAGTGCTGTGGGGCATTCTCCAGACACCAAAGTCTGGCTTTCTTTCCCACTTATGACAGAACCCTCGAAAGAGGGTCTACCCTGGGAAGAGATTGAGAAAGTTGTAGGCAGATACCTTGAGGTGTATAGAGGGGTTGTTGAAGTAGCTGTAGGTTTTAGGGCCTAAGAGCAAATCACTGGCCCTCTGCAGGCCTTCCACAGCTTCTGGCTGCCCCTTAGAAGGCCAGGCAACGTTTCCACACAGCACTCCAGTCGCCTGCCCCACCCCTTTGTCTCTCCACCCCATAGTGTACACAGCTGCTTTCTACTGCTCAGCTGGCAAATTCTTTAACTCTGGGCTCTCATGTCCCCCCTTCGTAGCTTAAAAATCACTTCCTCCCTTTGGGAAGCTTTGCTTGATTCCCATGATCTGGGTGAAGCCTTTAGAGACAGCTTCCTCACGTTTATTTATTTACCATTTTTGTGCTGGAGGCAAAACCCAGAGGCTCCCACATGCCCCATGCCTAGCAAGAGCTCAACAATAAAGCTGCACTCCGAAATTGTATGGAGTTTAATAGCCCCTCCATCCCTGTTACCTGATGTGGATGGGGACCATGTCCATCCATTACCTATGATCTCACCTACCCTACCCCAAAGCCCAGCCCATTGTAAACAGTATAATATTTGTTGACTGAATGAACACAAGACTGGAAAAGCTGTCTTGCTCTACCCTTCCCCCATTACCCTACTATGTAGCTTTGGGCAGGTCACCTACCTTGTATCTAAAATGAAAAGTTGAAATGAACCTCCTAAAAGTCCCATCCAGAGCTAGGGTGCCAGAGGTCTGAACCATTCCACTAATCTTGCTCCTTCTGTCCTCTTTGAAGATGATACCAAGCTGAATCCCTACGCAGGAGAAGATGGTGAGTACAGGGCCAGGTGGTCCTTCAACCAGACCCCTGGCCATGGGCCCACCTTGAGAAGGCACAGCAGGGGGAGGAGGGAGAGAGGAAGACAGCTAAGACCTCCTACTGAGTGGGAGGGAAGAGGGCCTGGGCCACAGACCCTAGGTCGATGAAATATGTCTATCCTAGACACCGCTCACATCAGCCATGAGCCGCCTGTGTCCACTGCCCTGAAAGGAGTTAGAGGAAGGGAATGGCTGAGCCAGGGCCACCTGGCAGGGGGACCTGTGACCATGACCCTGCCTTCCTGTGGGCCTCATAGTCATATGGGGAGAGCAGCTTCTTCCACATCCAGTTTTCTTCCTTGTTGGCAGAGAGTACATACATTCTCCACTGCTGCTTTGTGGGGTGCCAAAAGGTGGGCTGCTTCCAGCTGTTAGGAGGACAGGGAAGATGTTCTCTGTTCTTGGGAAAGGGGTCTCCTCCCCTGTGCCTTACTCAGAGTCAGTCCTGCCCTTGCTGCAGCCACTGCAAGAGTGGGTGTAGGAATGCCTCTCTAGCTCCAAGACCAAGGTAGTTCTTTAGAGTTCAATGGAAGAGGCCAGTTATTAACAGTGTGGTCTGTACATCTCCCTGTAGAGAGAGTATCATTGCTCACTCTGACAGTAAGTGTGAAAGTCTGTGTGTTTGGTGAGGGAAGGATCATGCCAGGCTCTACCAGCTCTGTGCCTTGTGCTCATCAGACACAACCCTGACAGTCAGATCACAGGGTCATAGCAGGCTGCAGGCTGATGGCCAATGAAGTCAGGGGAGGCTAGCCTGGGGTGTGTTCTTTTCAACTCCCCTGTGATGGCAGATGGAGGCCCTAACATGCACTGGAGTGGCTTGGATGGTTTCTATTGTGGGTTACCTCTGTATGCACAGTGCCCAGCAGAGCTAAGAGGATGGGAAGATCAAGAATTCGGATGCATGCAGCATCCTACTAAAATCCCCATGCTCCAATGTCTCCTATCCCACCCGACAGCTGGAGAGGATTCAGTATTTCTGTTGCTAGTATGTACATCTGTCTTCTGTAGCTCATTCCTCCACATTAGTTAGGGGGAATCAGCAAATATCCATCCCAAGTAATGTTAGGGAACCAGGCTTCTTAGTGACTGGCACTGTGTGTTCCTGGGCAAATTGTTTAACTTCTCTGTGTTTTCATTACTTCAGTCATACAAGAAAGGGTGGGACTGGATAAGCATCCAGCTCTACAGTCTATGGAAAATGTTCCCTTTCCTCCTTGGGATGTATTTCAGATGCTTGGGATGTTCTCAGAGAGTAGTACCAAGTGCCTCCAGAGGACCTAGTTTACCCCTCAAAACTCAGTTGAGGTGTGAGCCCATTTTACAGTGAACCCACCCCAGTGTGTTTAAGAGCTGGACACTACCCCTTCCCTCCAGGAGGTCTCAATCTGGTAATAGAAAATGACAAGGATAAATATGGTCATTTGCTATTATAGTAATGTAACCAGTAATACTGGTTGAGGACTTCCGAGCAGCCAGGTGTGGTCCAAAGGACTTGATGTGAACTCTTTCTTTCTTTCTTTCTTTCTTTCTTTTTGGGACAGAGTCTCGTTGTGTTGCAATTTGCTATGCAGACCAGATTGGCCTAGAACTCAGAGATCCACCTGCCTTTGCTAGGATTAAAGGCATGTGCCACCACACCCATCCTATGAGCTATGTCATTTTGTCCACCTTACAATAACCCCAGTTAGGTAGTTATTATCCTTGCTCTACAAAAATGATAACAGAAACCCACAGAGGTTAACTTGTCCAAGATCACATAGCTAGTAAGTGGCAGAGTATAGATTTGAACCCAAGCAGCCAGTCTAGATTCACACACACACACACACACACACACACACACACACACACTTTTGAGACAGGATGGCATATAGTCCAGGTTGGGTTCAAATTCACTATGTAGGTGAGGATGACCTTGAATTCCCTGGCATCCACCTCCCAAATGCTGAGATTACAAGCACGCAAAACTACATCCAGTTAAGATCCCCAAATTTTGTGTGTGTTGGGGGGCAGTACATATGTGCCACCTCGTACCTCTGTGGGGGTCAGAGGACAACTTGCAGGAGTTAGTCCTCTCTTTCCACCATGTGGTTCCTAGGGGGTCAAATCAAAACTAGACCATCTGGCTCAGCAACAAGTGCCTTTACCTACTGAACCATCTCACAAGCCCAAGATTCCAGATGCTTAACTATGGATTCTTAACTCTTTTATGGATTCCTTAAAAGTGCTTATATGGCACAGGTATACAAGAGAGCTCCCTAGGGATCCTTATTAGACATTTGGGAAACTTCTAAATGATTTTGGAAAATACCTTAAAGGTATCAGAACATTAATGTTATAATAATTCCACCAACTCCCTCCTCACCTTTCCACATTTGAAAAATATGGGCTTTCATCTCTAAGACTTTGTCAGAACCTAAGACTCTAGAGTCCAACTTTACTTTCTCCCCTGAAGTCACTCCCTGTTCTACCCATCTTTCCACAGGCCTTCAGGACAATTTGTCCCCGAAGACTAAGGGTCCCCCTGTACACCTGGGTACCATTGTAGGCATTGTGCTGGCTGTGCTTCTGGTGGCAGCCATCATCCTGGCTGGAATTTACATCAGTGGCCACCCTAACTCCAATGCCGCACTCTTCTTCATCGAGGTCAGTGTGGGATTTGCCTTCTAGGAGGTCACAATCTGATGGTGCCTTTTGTGAATTGCTCAACAGTGTTTATGTGGCACAGGTATCAGACAGAACTTCTGTATGATCCCTCTTAGGAAGGGGTATAGTGGTGACCCATTTGGGACCTCCCCTGGGTCACAAACCCACTGACCTCATTACCCAGAGGCCTATGTGGTTCCCTCAGCTTTTTAAAATTACTGGCAGGGTCTTGCCACTTGCTCTGAATTCTTAGCCTTCTTAGGTATCAGCAAGGAACTCCAGGTCCTCAGGCCACAGGATTCCAGTGGGGTGGGTTCAAGGTAGGCCTCAGAATCTTCAGTAACTTTCCCACTGACTCTGATGCAGAGCCTATGCCTTCTAGAGGGCTGCTTTGGCATTTCCAGAGCCTCCCAGATCATTTTGGGGTCTGTGGTTCACCTCATCATTTACTTCCACAGTCTTGGCTCTCCATTCTGGTGCTGAAGCATTTAGCTCTAAAAAGCATTTAGCTCTACAAAGTATTTAATTCTACAAAGTGAGGGATAAAATGTGCTCCTTCCAAACCTGACTTCTAAAAATGCCAGGTACGGTGGTGCACACCTTCAATCCCAATACTTAGGAGGAAGAAGCAGGAGGACTGCTGCAAGTTCAAGGCCAGCCTGGTTTCCATAGAGAACTCTAGGCCAGCCAGGACTACACAGGGTTTGAAGTGGCAAGGAGCTTACAGTGAGGCATCTTGTGGAGAGACTGGCCCTGACTTTCACCTGGCTCCTAGAGAGCTCCCATGGCACATCCCTCAGGGGTGGGGTTTATGAAGGGGTCATACACTCTGACTTTGCTTCTGTGCCCCTGCAGCGGAGACCTCACCACTGGCCAGCCATGAAGTTCCGCAACCACCCCAACCACTCTACCTATACAGAGGTTGAGCCTTCGGGCCATGAGAAGGAGGGTTTCATGGAGGCCGAGCAGTGCTAAGAGCACCAGACAAAGAGACCTGGGGACTGCAAGAAAGATGAGTTACAGCAAAGAGGAGAAGTGGCTTTTCCTGGCCTCCTCTGAGCTGGCCCTGGGCCAGGAAGATAAGACAACTGCTTATGGTGCCAGAACCACAGTTCAGTTCTCACACCCCAAGTAAAATGGGGTTCAGGAAAACGATGAGAGTTTTTTAAAGGAACAGTGACCTCATAATGCCATTGCTTAGAGGAGTTTCCTCTTCTAGGTCTCTCAGTGGTCTACTCTGAAGCTGTGGCAGAGCCCCGTCCCCCTGGAGATGGCCTCGTGTCTTGCTCCTGGTCACCCAAAGCCCCTGTGTGGGACACAAGTTAACGAAAAGTTGGGACTGGGGCTACTGCATACCAGGGTCCATAGACTCTAGAGCTGGTCCTTGGCCCCAGCCTCTGTGTCTCTGGAAGCCTCAAGAAGGGGTTCCCCCAATCTGAGCTTTCATACCTACCTGAGACAGAGGCCAAATGAGAGGAGAGAAAAGAACCTTGGGGAAGTTTGCATTTCTAGCCTCATTCCCTTTGCCTCATCTTTTCTGCAGAGACCTAGAGCTTGCATCTGAGCGCTGCAGCCTGCAGCCTAATCTGCACCACGCCCTGCCACCCAGCCTCCATCTTGCAAGCTGGTCTTGCACAGCTTCCAGTATTGTGTGGAGCTGCTTGCTCTCCACCTGTCTGGTGCCCATTTCACTCACTGGCCTGTTCTGATGTCAGTGCCAGTGGGTTCCTCCAAAGGCACAACTTGTCTGGTTCATATTTTTCCTGGCTGACCTGGGTGGGGATTTTTATAGCCATTAAAGACAAAAGGGGGCAGAGGCTAGAGGTTTTCTTGAGATACTCCCCCCCCCACACACAAGCAGGGAGCTTCAGTGGCATCCTGTTGAAACACAGAGCTGCCAGGAAGGTAGGCACAGAGAACGTGGCAGGGAGGGAGGGACTTTCCACACAAGACCTTGACCTGGAAAGTGGCCTCCATCTCCCAGCTCTGCAAGCAGCTCTGGAAGACAGGGAATTGAATCTTCCATACTTAGCCTGGTTTTAAAAGACTTCTATCCCAGTGATGAGCCGAGACTACTTCTGAAGGGTGGTGAGAATGAAAATCTAGAACTCACCCTCATTCCAAAAAAAGAACGATCAGCAGCAAATAAATGTTAAGCCACTGTCTCCACATCCTCTCTGCTCCTTTTGGGCAGTAAGGAGTGGTGAAAGCAGAAGTCTGAGCACATGGTGGGTCAATGGGAGGAGGGAAGGCTGTCTGCAGATGCCCAGACACACCAGAGCCTTGACTGACACCTTTCCAGCTGCTCCAGGGTTGATTTAAGCAAGGACATTGACGACAAGCAGAGCTGGAAATATGCTGGATGGCTACACTGCTTCCTAAACCAAAGGAGAGAAGTCTGTGGGGACGAGGACTACAGGAGGGACTTGAGACCGTGAGCAGCATAGAATGCTTTACAGGTTTCAGAAGACAGCCAGGTCTACATCCTCCACATCCAGCCCTTCTGGCGGTCTTTGCCGGTGACCAACCAGCAAGGCATCGAAGACCACAGGGTCTGAGATACTAGCAGGGAAACTCGGGCTGTGACCTTGCACAGTGGACGGCACCATCTGTCCCACTCCTAAACTCCAGCACATGTCTCACCTGAAGCTTGGCCAACCATTCTGGATTCCCGAGACAAAGAAAAGTGCAGGGAAGTAGGGACACTTTGCAGATGGGGAAACAAAATCAGTAGGTATTGGCCTGAGTGGAGCCAGCCTGACTGACTCCTAGGATGTCAGTGGGGAGGGGATGTAGAGTCATTTGGCAGCAGGCAGGCCCGTTTGTTTACAGCAAAAAGAACTAAAGATGTAGGTCTCTGTGAGGCTTCTGTTAACAGTTTTGGATTTCTCCAGACAAAACACTGAGACACAGGCTCCCAAAAAACAGAGCCAAGTGCCTCACAGAGTTATCATTGGTCCCCAGTCACCACAGGTCTGACCAAATAAGTGTTTCTATACAGACCTGGAAGTCTGACCCCAAGGTTTAGAGCAAATGGAGACACAGGTCTTGGGCCACCCTTCCAGGTGTGGTTGAGAGTCTAGCAAGGTAAGGCAGTGCATCTCACACTGTGCACCGTCAACCAGACTTGCAAGCTTTCCACCCCACAGACATATTGTGGTGGCTAACAGTGCCTTCTCTACATGGTGGCTGTGGGTACCCTGAGGGAAGGTAGGGAGTGGTCTATAAAAATTCATCACAAAATAGGAAGTTTCAACTTTGTGAAATAGGACTGGGACATTTTCCCTATTGTCTAGAGAGGTCAGCAGGTCCTAAGGTTTTCTTCTGTACCTTTAAGATACTTAACCAAAGGGCCAGCAAGATGGTTCAGCAGGTAAAGGCACTTGCCACCAAACCTGATGACCTGAGTTCAATCCCCAGGACCCACATAGTGGAAGGCAAGAACTGTAAGTTGTTATCTGACTTACACTCACACACATAAACACACACAATAAATATAAAAAAATTTAAAGAGTGCTAACCAAAGAAAATGGAAATATGATGGAGGAAAATACAAAGGCCAAGAACAAGAGGGCACCTCTGCCTCCTAGGCTATTCCTAGATTTGTGGACTTGTCTCCTGGTATTTCTGATTATAGAACACAAGTCACATGAACCATGAATCTACTCTGACCGCTAATACCCAGGAGCCCTCCCAACCCCAGCACCACAGACAGACTTTCTTTTTTATTTTTTTTTTTTTGAGACAGGGTCTCCCTATAGCCCCAGCTGGCCTGGAACTTACTATGTAAGCCAGGCTGGCCTTGAACTCACAGAGATCCACCTGCCTCTGCTTCCCAAGCATACGCCACCATGCCTGGCCACAGACAGGCTTTCTAAGCTTGACTAGGACTCTCTCTCCAGCTATGACCCCCAACCCATGTCAACAGGCCCTGGGACTCTGGAAGCCACTTACCAGTCTGGTGCCTGGTGTTGAAAATGTCCTTTGGTCACCATGAAAAGCTCTTGGTGGACTTATGAAAAGAGTTTTTTAAATTGGCACATCTACCAGGCTCCCTGTGTCATGAATTCCTGTGTGTATTATCACACACACCTTGTTAAAAACATTGGACAAGCACTTGGGAGGTGAAGGCAGGAGGAACAGGAGTTCAAAATCACCGTCAGTTACATATCAAGTCTGAGGCCAGCCTGGGCTATATAACCCTGTCTCAAAATAAAACAACAAAAACCAAGGGGCTGGAGACATGACTCAGTGGTTAAGAGCACTTGTTGCTCTTGCAGAAGACCAGGGTTTGAATCCCAGCACCCACATGGCAGTTAACAACCCTCTATAACTCCAGTTCCAGGGGATCCAATGCCCTCTTCTGTCCTTTGCAGGCACTGCATGACACGGGTGCACATATATACATGCAGGCATAACACTCATACATATAAAATAAAAATAAATACAAAAAACCAGAAAAGCAAAAAACAAAACAACACACAAAACCCCACAAAAATATGGGACTAGAGAAATGGCTCATCAGTTAAAAGTGTTGGCTGCTCTTGCAGAGGACCCAGGTTTGGTTTCCAGTACTATATGGTGACTAACAACCGCCCATAACTCCAGTTCAAGGAGATCCGATGTCTCCTGATCCCTGCAGGCATTGCATGCATGGATACTCCTACATATAGGTAGGCAATATATAGGGGCACTGTCTGCTCTTGCAGAAGACCTGTGCTTGAATCCCAGCACCCACATGGCAGCTAACAGCCATTCATAACTCCAATTCCAGGGGATCCGATGCCCTCCTTTGACCTCTGTGAGTACTGCATGACATGGGTGCATTCATGTACATGCAGGCATAACACATAAAATAAAAATAAATTTAAAAAATTTTAAATAAAATATAAATAACTTTTAAAAAGCAAAAATAAGTAATAATATGGTGGACAAGGCTTAGCTTGATTTGTTAAGACAATGGCAAAAACTGCCAACCAAAAGCTGAGTGTTTGCCACTTGCATTGACCATTAATCTGGTTGTGGGCAGAACTAAGATTCTTCCTGGACATGGGGACAGACTCAACTAGCATGGAGTAGCACTCAGGGGCTATGCCTAGACTCCTGGCTGTGGGGACCCACAGCAGAAGAATGAATTTCACAGATTCAAACACTATCTCTCTCTAATAATCTACCTGAAAACACAGTACATCTAGAAGGAGCTGGGTTCTGAGGGTTCCCTGGCTGCCCTCCACACAATGTATTCATGTCTAGCATATGAATTCTAAGTGTTAAGAATAAAAAGAAGCCATCTTTTATGATGCAAAGGATGTGGGGTGCACACACCTTGGTCTGATGCCTGCCCCTCTCTAGCATCTTCATCCAGGCCCTGTCCTTGGCAGTGAAGGAATAACGTCCAGCCACTGGGTCAGCAGATGTACTTTTCCATGCTCCTGCCCAGCTCCAAGAGGAGCATCAAGAAGCAACCCGAGCTATTGACTTCTATTGGGTTTGGAAGTCCCTGGAAGCCAAACTCATGTATTTGTTGTTGTTTTTGAGACCATCTACCTGTAGCTCTAGCTGGCCTGGAACTCTGTAGAATAGGAAGGCCTCCATCTTACAGAGATCTACCTGTCTCTGCCTCCCGAATACTGGGATTAAATGCATATACACCATGCCCAGCAACCTCATGCATTTTTAATCTACTGTCTAGAGATACAAAATAAACCTGAGTCAGTTGATGCTGTCACAGTTCTGGATGCTTTGCATTTGAACAACTTTAGCAACCTTGTGTTTTTATTCCTTTGTGATTTTTTTTTTCTCACAAAACATGGTTTAGCAAACCAAAACAAACAGAAGAAAAATTTGAACTTCTCATAGCCAAAACCACTGATGCCAAATTTCAGGCTGCAAGCAAGCCAATTTATAAATAAACATGTTACAATCGCCAAATAAAGAGGAATGTGTTGGGAAAAGTGGTAGGGACTGATGGAGGAGGTGCCAAGCTGCACTGAATCAGAAGATGGGAGTTAGGTCTCACTAGTGTCCCTGAGAAGCTATTTGACATGGGCCAAGTCACTGAATTTTTTCTAGTCCTGTTTCTACTTCTGTAAAATGAAAGGGGCCTGTCTAATTGGTCCAAGAAGGGGGCAATTGGCCCCTCTACATTGGCTGAAGAAATAATAAACAATGTCAAGCACTCGAGGGCTATAGTTAACAGCCTTATTGGCCCAAGTATATCCAGACAGTGTGAGCATCTCTGGAGTTGTTAGAAAACTAGGACTGGAGCCCAGCATAGTGGCACACACCTTTGATCCCAGCACTCAGGAGGCAGAGGCAGGCAGATCTCTGTGAGTTCAAGACCAGCCTGGTCTACATAGTGAGTTCCAGGCCAGCTGGGACTACAGGGAGACCCTATCTCAAAAAGACCAAAAAAAGGAAGGAAGGAAGGAAGGAAGGAAGAAAGAAAGAAAGAAAGAAAGAAAGAAAGAAAGAAAGAAAGAAAGAAAGAAAGAAAGGAAAAAAAAACAGGACTCAGACCTACCCATGTACTGAGTCAGAGTGTATATTTGAGTAGCCACTAGATTGATGAGAAACAATCTACCTATAGGATCACAGCCTGTTGGGGAGGCATTGTTTCCCTCTTTCCCAGATGAAGAAACTGAGGGTCAGAGAGGTGATTTACTTATTTATACATTTGATTCATAATCATTATGTGTGCCACAGACCAAGTGACTCATCCTAGGTCACAGAGCTAGTAAGAGACAATCCCCAAACCCAGATCTTCAGAACCCCATTCAGGAGTATTCTCTGTATATCTCAGGGCAGTGCCAGAACCACATGGCTGCAATGTAACATAGAAACAGATTGTGGATTTTGACAGAATCCTCCTGGCCCATGGAGATCCTCACTGAGACGCACAACCACAACTTCCTGTCTTCACTCTCGCGCCTGAAGCTGTAAGCTTATCATTGATTTCTTTACACAGCCCCATGGGTTTATAGATTCCTAACTGTTGCTGGAAGCACTGAAAGTGAGGTACTTAAATACTGGCTTTCTGAGGTCCTGAGGTCCTTGTACATATTGGGCAAATGTTTTCCCAATGAGCCATATCCCGGCCCTAGTGACCATTTGAATTCACCCACAGACTGCTACCAACCCACCTTTGCTTTGACTCCATTCTCCCAAGAAATGTTAGAAACTCTAAGAGCACCTCCTCAAGGTCAAAGGGCCTCC